CATTCGTGTATGGGGTGTTTGGCAAACCGCCGTATTCTGGTCTCCTGTCGCGCGGTGGCGCTGGAGCGATGGGCTGAGGATATGCCTGCGTAGCCGTTGTGGGTGGTAGCATATGATGTGGCTGGAACTGTTGGTGTTGATGGCCAAGGAATGTAGATGGTGGCAAACTATTGACTGGTGCGTGGGTGGTCATCGGGGCGGACGAGACGGCGTACACATCAGCCGCAGTCGTGGTCGGATACCTGGGCATGTCATTGCGGAAGGGTTGGCCAAGATAGGTGTGCGGCATTGGCGCCGGGTTCTGATGGTGTTGCAGAGGCGGCAACGTGTGTGGTTGCGCCATCGCATAGGGCGAATGCATCTGGTATTGATGGAGATTCGACAAGGGCGGAGGCGGGCCTTGCGGAGGGATGCCGGCGGAGGGAGGTCTCGAGACCTGAGGTCGTAGATTGGGATCCATGAGGCGGGAGATGGGAAATAATAGAAAATACCGAACCGTGACTCAGTCGAAAAGTCCACACCATTGATTGTCTGAGCGTTCCGTCCCACTTGGTCTGGAGAAACAGGAATCAACCAAGACGGGGGTAGGTTGATGGGCCTATGGGATTTTGGAGACAAAAGAGGCGTTAGCTAGGGATTCTAGTTCAGACGTGGGGTCGATCTTGTTTGCGAAGTCGCCGGGCACGATTCGGGCCGCGATTGCACGACGCCAGGGGGGAGAAGAGTGTACTCACCTGAAACGACGAGAGCACGGGTTTCGACTATGGAAACTCGCTGTGTCTTAACGAATGAGACGAGCCAGGACGACGTTCGCGGATCAACGAAGGAAGGGGTTGAGGCGCAATTGGCGACAGTGTGCTTGGACCTGTCAAGCGAAAGCAGAATACCCGCGTTAGACGACGGCAAGCTCCACACCCAACGTCGAACAGAAGTGGAGGAGGAACGCGGAGATGTCAAGGAAGAAGAGAGAGACAAGGGCAAGGGCAAAGAACGAAAAGTGGCTCTTCGTGGCTCCGGCAAATCTCCACCACGACTGAAGGGAATCGACGAGCGACTGTGCAACGAGAGAGAGAGAACGCGGATAAAAAAAAAAGAGAGTGAACGTGATGGAGCAGCCAAGAGGGGCAGTAGAGGGGTAAGAGGGTTCAGGAACGGTCAGGAACAAAATGGGAAAAAAATGGACTTGGAGGGGGTCGAGAGATGGATATGTTTCCTTTTTGGCTTTTGGACGGGAGCAGAGTGGGAACCCGATTTTGCCTTTTTTTTCTAAATTTTTTTTTTCTTTTTTGCTTGCCCTGTGATGCTTGAAGCTGGCGAGAAGGGGGAGACTTGCAAAGAGCTGAAAGGGTGTGGATGTTGGGAAGAGGATCCGGAGGTTTGGAAATATCCACCGGTCGCGTGGAGTGGGTCTCTTGTCTACCAAAAAAACACAACAAAAAGGAAAAGGGAATCGAATAAATAACAGCAACACGGCTCGCAGACGGTGGCGGGGTTCACGGCACTGCAGAGTCGGAGTGGTGGGAGGGTTTCGGGGTTCAGGACACTCAACCAAGGTAACGTGTGCAACTCTCTTTGTATATTCCCTCGTCGCTGCTTGTGGTCGGCGGAATGCGCGTGGCGACGAGGGCAAAAAAAAAAAAGAGAGAGGAAGCACAGCGCGCTTGGGTCGAAGCCACAGGTCAAGCCGTTGGAAAGTGACTCGCAGACAAGACTTGCGGGATCAACGAGGACAGAAACGGGGGAGAAGAGACGACGAACAAGTGGAAACAAAGAAAGCGGAGCACAGAGGAAGATGATTGACGGGAGGTGAAGTGGGCGAGGGTGTGAAGATGGGCCGGAAACACCAGAGCAGAGTGCCTCAACAAGGGGACAGAATACGAGGGGAACAATTGAAGCCGAAACAAGAGGGTCAGGGAAAAGGGAAGGGGAGTAGAAAAGTGGACTCACCAGTTATCGATTCGGAGAAAAAAAAAGACAGAAGAAGATGCAGGAGGAAGGAAACGAAGGTGGTGCAGAGTATTATGTTGCAGGGTGTCACACACAGACGCACACTCGAGAGAGAGGAAGTGAGAAGAGGAAAGGAGAGAAGACGGAAGAGAAAAGGCAGGTTGATAATGATGACGAACAAACCCAACCCACGATGATTTCCCTCTTTGCTGCGATTCACCGCACGTAAAAAAGATCAAGAAGAGACCGAAGCGCACAGAAATTCAAAATTCATGACCAAGCAAGAATCAGCCAATAGCCGCACAACAACACCGAATTGCCCTTGGAGAGGCAAAGAGCAAAAAAAGAACAAGCGAAACGCACTTCTCATCGCCGCTCGGCCGGGCGTGGCGATAAGCAGAAAGGTACTCTCAGACACTCATTTCGCCGGCAAGGTACATCCCGAACATCCCCCCTCCCAAGGCGCATTTCGTCAATCCCTCTCGACAACGCGACAATCATTATCAATAATCATCATAAAGTAAATAATTAGAAAAAGAGTTTCTCCTCTCCCATTGCGGCGAGCCCGTATCCAGTCAACCCGCGAAAGCCACTCGAGAGTTTCTATGCTCTTCACCCAGCCTGGACTTGGTTCACATCCAAGGGCGACGATCTAATGCAAGCGCATACATACGCTTGTGCTATGCAAGCCCAGCGGTTATGCATTCCATGACATCTAATGGTCTCTCAGCCTCCTGACTCGCGCACAGTCTCCTCTCGTCGATATTATCTCTCGTGGACAGGAGAGTCGACGTGCGAGAGACCGCATCCCCTGCAGCTTTATCTCACATCATATATCTCCCTGTCCTCTAGGGATCAGATCGTGTCCAGCTGTAGATTCCAGCAAGGTTTCTCATAGCAGCCTCAGTTCAGACAGCGCTGATCGAAAGCCAAAATATCTGCTTGACGGCTACGATTCCCATCTCGCAGTTTCGCGCCCTCAGCCTGTCAACCTCAGATACTTCACATTATTTCTTCCCCTTCCTCAACCTCCCCTGTCATCTTCCTTCCCAGGCTGCTTGCCTATCATTCCCTTCAAATCTCGGAATCGCCAATTCTCCCCCGTCCAAAAATAGGCTTTGACCATTCCTCTTCGGGCGGCGAAATCCCGCCGAAACCCAAAACCACAACGTTTGCTGACTAATCGCTGCCCTTGATCGTGGGATGATAAGGGAATTTTATTAGAAAATTGCCCATCCCCCCCTGCGATATTTTCGACTCGTCATCTCCATGGGTATAAACTGATTACTCTCCAAAACCCTTTGATCCTGACAGGGTCCCCAGGGCAGCCGCCCGTTCACGCAGGATTTGAAACACAGGCCGCATCACGTGACGGAGACGCTTTCGGGGCAAAATCCCGGCAAACCAGCTGGGCATCACATGAGGATGAACAACACGGAAACTTCGGGAGAGCGAACAGGCAAGCAGAATATGCTAGTTCCCTGAGTGGCGGAATGCACACCAACAGGTCTATCAACTCTATTTCCCATATCGACCGGAGCCGAGCAACAAATCTATCAAACATCGTTGCAAAGGAAGTTTGTTGTTCGGCAACCAACATCGGGGACTTTCTCGCCCATTGGCCCACCTTGAAACAACAGCACCCTGTCAAACCTCCTTCAACTCACATGGACTCGTTAGCCGAAGAATGCTGATGATGTTATCTGTTCGATTTGTGCGCACAGATCTCCTGCTAAAATAGTAATCCCTGATAATGTGGTGGAAACCAGGCGATCGACCGACCTTGCTGCAGCGTGAGCCAAGTGGAGAGCAAAAAGGCCGCAGAGTGGAAGCATCAACACCGCTCCAAAAAAGCCAAAAAGCATCCTCCGATCAACGCTTCTGAATGGTCGCCTGGATCCGTTGTCACGGATTTTTCTTGTCGTGTCCGTTATGCAGCTCCAAAACGCCACGACGGCTTGACTATCAGCGCACTAGCACAGACACGTTTGGAAATCGGTTCTTGAGAGGGAAGCGGAATAAGGAAAAAAGAAAAAAAGGGGCTAAAATGGCACTGTCGTCTCCTCTGCCATCCCCGTATTTCGTATCCGGGAGATTCTTTCCATCCCCAGCAGATATTTTAAGGTTCCTCGTGGTTCTGTCGCTAGTGGCATCCACACGCTTGATGGCGTGAAGTCTGTCAGAGAAGCTGACGAAAGGGTAAGGTCAAAGCGATCAATAATGCCCTCGGTACGCCGTCCCTCCGTACTGTGTACATCCTGCAGTACTTATTTAGAAATTATACGGGGTGTGCATTCTCCTCCGTCCATTGAGAGTCGCAAAAGCCCGACAGGTAGTATTCGCGATATGTAACGCTTCTTGTTCGAAACACTTGCCGCTGGAAATTAGCCGCGAGAATCTTGATCATTGTCAATTCTTCAGCCAAGTCCATGACTCCATGGGAGGTCCATTTCTTTCTTTGCTTGAACGTGTTCAGGGAACCCCACCGAGAATGCCCACACCAGCTTTCGTCCCCTGCAAACAACCACAAATGGACTAAAAATGTAAGCTTAAAAATAGATGTGGGCAAGCTCCCCATCCTGGGATTTCATCTTGAGCAGTCTGAGCCTTGATATCCCAAGCCCAAACAAACAGTGAGATTACGAACGACCTGATGTTGATCCTGCGAAAAGGAGCCGAGTCTTGAGCTGGTCATCCCTTATGATTATTTGACTCTTCTGGTCTTCTTTTCGGATGTTAGCATGAAATCAACATCATCATCAGCAGCAGCCCAGATCTTGAACCTTTGCCTCAATCTGGCTTTAGCGCCAAACTCTCCTTCGGAACTCTCAGCTTCTCAAGACAAGCCAGCCGAGGTCGGGTGAAGAGCCCATGTGCAAAAAAGAAGATCGCTCATGTCGACATCCGTGCAAGCCGCCGCAATCGCGCAAATTTGCCATGTTTCAGGCAAACAATTCTTAAACCCAATTTCCTGAAAAGGTCGGAGGAATAGGGCGCAAGAAGGACATCAAATCTGTTCAAGTTGGGACTGTGTAGAAATAATAATATTCGGAGAAAAAAGGTTCAACAAAATGTTCCTGTCAAGGTTGACATGATCTCCGACCAAGCTCGCTGCAAAAGTGGAGCGAACAGAGATGACGACCCAGAGAACACAAACGGTGGGACCTAGGTACAAGGCAAATCCACTTTTCTCGGCGGGCTGCCCCAATGGAATTCCCCTTGCTCGACCGTTGAAAGTGAAGAGGGAGAAACAGAGTTGTTCTGCCTTCGTTCGAGGACCGTTCGATGATAGACGCGAACCCACAGCACGGATGGAGACCAGCGGAGAATTTCCGCCCTCATCACAGTATTAATCCCATCTCTGTTGCTTATTGACGGGAGTCTCCCAATACCATAAACGGTTTCTCTTCTTAACATACTTGGTGTGGCTTGGGATTATCCCTGGTGCCCAGCGCATCTCTTTCTCCCTTTTCTCTGGGCGATCAGGCAAAAGGGCGCAAGCCAAATGATTCAAGGCAAGTGACGTTGTGATGGGCGATTGACTCGGGCAGGTTCCGTAGTTTTCGACCGCCGCATCGTATCCTCGAAAGGCTCCGGCTAATTGCCACGGGGGCTGTGTACGGTGTACGGAGTACGGAGTACCGACGACAAAAATATGTTTCAATAATAATAACAATAATAACACCAATAGTGCAGTTACTTCAATTCGCAAGGTCCCCAAGCAGGAGCGGTGGTTTGAGACGCTTCTCTCATCGCAGCCACAGCAGCCGTGCTGCTACGCCGGGTCAGAAGGGCGATTCGTTCCCAGCTCCTCTCATCACACAGAGCGGAAGGATTTGCCTGCATATCCAAAATGTCATTGAAAAGGTCAGCCTTGATCAGAACCCTTTTATTTTAAGGTTTTCTTCCTTTCCCGCGATGGCTTGACCATGGCAAGTTTCTGGATAATGCGGCATCATCTGTCGGATATCGCGCTCCGTTCGCATTTTTCAGCACCTGCCTGTTCAGTGTTCCTGAAATTCCAGCATGAATTTGATAATAATCCTCATGGTAAGCCTGGCGATTAACTGGTGATAACTTTGTCACAGCCATAAAGCAGAACCATCACAATAGTATCAAACCCCTAGCCAGTTCTCTCTGCTCAGGGGCTAGTGACGCGTGTCATCCACTGAGAGAGAGAAAGACAGGCTTGGTAAATCGGGTCCACCTTCCGGGTCCCCTTCTCAGCCCATTTCATCATCACATCACTTCCCATCCACGACCCTGCAGTTGCAGGCATAAGGCCCAAACCAATCACCTCCCGACACAAGGGACATGCTAAAAGGACAAGCTTCCATGGTTCCACTGTTCTTGGTCGCATCACGGGTTACTTTCTTTTTTTTTTTTTCCTGCTGTCCCAGCAAGGACAGGGGATGAAAATAAAGCGCCGTGGCGTGCCTCCCAGCCAAGCAGGTTTTGCTCTCCTTCTTCTTGGCGGACTTCGGGTTTGAGAAATGGCGGAAAGTTCGCCGAAAGCGAATCGAACAGTTCCAGAAAAGGGTAACTTCTTACTCCATAGCGTTGATGGTACTCTGGACAGGAGGTTCAAGGGCGCCAGGCGCGCGGAGAGTTGTCTTCCGCAAAATCCCAACCCAACAGGTTCCGTTTTCGTGAAATTGACGAGTACCATCGGCTGATCCAGGTGTCGGCATTTCATTGGTCTCTAAGCATTGCAATTGACCCCCAGGTCAAGAATCACTTCATGATATCAAATCCGCCTGCCATCCTATTTGGTTTCTGGCCAACCGTCAGCAGATCCGCGACGTTGAAGGAAAGTGGGAAGCTCTGGCGGTCAAGTCCTCAACTGGACAAGAGTGCGTGGGGTTACAGGCACAGGGCACGAGGCGTTCCGGCTTGCATGAAGGGTGCAAGCCATCCTCGACGGGTTCCCCGGTCAAAACTCACTGAACCAGCCCGGCTTGACAGATCCCTCCGTGTTATTTTTCCCTGTATTAGAGTTTCGCCATGTACACCGCCATAATCCTTTTGGTGCAAAGCGACTTGTGTCGACTTCTTGGCTTCGGTGTGGGTTTAACGGCCTGTGGATTTGGACAGAAGATCATGCCAGGAATAGTCCGTAATTCCAAGCTTGTTCTGTAGACGCGTTTGCCTCAATCGAGTCACGCTGAAGATAAGAGCCCGCTGGTTTCCGTGCTGGAACCGGAATGCCGAGGCGCAAGAAACTATCCGGCATTATCATATTTACCACAGCAAGGCTTTTTTGTTTTCTTTTCGGCCATCAAGCGTTTCATGCTCACAAAAGGCCGGTGTGTTATCGAGCGAGAGATCAAATACTTGCGGCACTTTTTTTTCAATTTTATTTTCTCAACCCCTGGTTGTTAAACTGCCTCATAGCCAGTAGGCATTATGACTGGACCTCCAGGCGGTTGGAATTGGTCCCCAACAGCCCTTCTGAGCATTCCTTTGTCATAAGGGGTCACGCCTACCCAAACCCCTGGGTCACGCCAATGGTGGCACAGTATCAATAAAATTGCTCTTGATACTCATGATTATTCCCGCTTTCGCTTTGCTCAGCAACACATCGAAAACAAAGCGTGCAAGCCTGTTTTGAGGGGGAAAAAAAGCCGTGTCCTCACCGCCATCTCGACAGAGCGCCATGTTTGAATCGTGCTCATGCCCGTGATGAAGGTTGAAGCAATGTCCTCGAAATGCCAATAGAGGCGAATTTACGGAGTGCATCGTGTTGTAACACTGAATCGTGATACTTGCGGTCAATGTACGGATATTGTCCGTCAGCAAACCGGTTTTGTGCTATAATATATTTGTGGCCTGGGAAGAGAAGCGTTGAGCAGGGTCCCTATACTCTAGGATTGGACCTGTCTAATTCAATAATATATCGATCATGACAATCAGTTAACAATGTTCAAGGCCCTACCAGCGCTCAGACATACCCGCACGGACGATACGTGTCGTATTTGATAGGTAGCTCCTCTGTATTCACATCTCAATGGCCATTTTTGAAGGTAACCCCGTAAATCGTATGCGGATATCTCCGTCCTCCACAGCGTGCACTCGAACACAAACCTCATCGACCTTTTCTTCCCGTTCTTCCAAGTTTATATTTTGATGCCGTTTTGAAATCCAAGAAGGACCAAAGTATCAGCCAACGGTGGTGGAGAGCCCGTTTCAGCGGGGTCTCCACGTTGGATCGAACGGCGGTCGTCTAGTTATCCCCAGTCTGAGGTCCTCTAGTGATCGCACCTCAGCTCCGAAACCCACAAGGCACGACGCCTCCTGCCAGGCTGGGGCTGAGGCTCGTGTCTCGTCTAGGTTAAATTAAGCAGCTTGCTGTGGTGGAGGTGCGGGACGGTTTGTGGGCCTTTTTTTGGCGTGGGATTGTGGAGGTGAAGGGCTTCCATGGCCCCATGTGCCTGGACTCTTCCCGCTGCGCTCATGAGATTCGCGGGGAAGGACGCTGGGACGGGTTACGGGCCTTTGGGTTAGTCTAGAGTGGTTGAGGATGAAATCTTGTTGATTGACGTATCAGATATGGGATGGAATGGCTGAAGTTGAGAAGACTGAGGGAGTCCCGTCTGATATTCGCGCATGTGATGAGATGAGCAGCTGGATCTTGTGAAGTTTGCGAAAACATTCCTTGAATCTTTGGAAATATCTTGTTGAAAATGAATTGATTTTGGCTGATGAAACTCCAGAATTGGAACGTTCTGCAATTGCTATTCTGGATATATCCTTTTATCAAAGCATTATTTTCTATGCAATCTCGCTCTCATCAAAGCTTTTGAGACATCTGGACGTTTTCGGCTAGGGTGCGCTTCAGCGGATGCCAATTATTCCCATTTTCATGCTCTATGACGAGAGAGCCCGAACAGCCACGTACCGGGAGGCATTCCCTCGAATGGTTAGAATGCCGAAACACTAGGGCCTGAGTGACTATAAGAAGACTAAAAAGTCAAGACTCTGGCGCTCACTCAGAATCCGGAGTAGGGCTCCTAAGAAGTGTGATTGATGGTATCCAGACTCTGTATCCTCGCCATGATAGGGATCAGGTAGCCTCAGCCTCCCTTTCTCTCACACAGAAAGGACTGCTACCTTTGATAGGCTATTATATG